TCCAAACATATTCCCTTTAAGACAGCAAATCTTTACTTTTTGACATTCACATAAAACAAAAAATACAAAATGTTGCATTAAAGCAATAACCTTAAATGAGGGACATTTTATTTTATACAACTCCAAAAAAAAAAACTGGGATGAGATAACGTACGATAGACAAAAATGCTATTTCGGTAGTTAGCTTCCAATGGCGTAAGAGGCGAGTAGCTGAGTTATAATGGCCGCTTGATAGAAAACACGAGTTTTGGAACTCAGAAAGTACATAAACCGCCCAGTGTTTGGCCAGCTCGGGTTCCTCGCTTCCCGGCGACAGCCGGGATCCCAGAATCAGCAAAAATATGCAAAGTGTACGCCGGCTTCCACAGCAAACACGCAACGCTCTGTTCCATCCTGCTTTTTATTTCCATTATCGGTTCCTTTCCACTTTATTAATTTTGGATTTGCAATCACATTTTTAAAACCCAACTTAAACGTTTTCCCTTTCAGTGAGGCTGCCCCTGCAGTGCAAGGGTTAAGTGCTTACTTATGTCTAGGGGACCAGAGTATGGCACAGTTACTTACCTGATCCCCGCTCCCACCAGACTGCTAGACGGGTCCCCCGCAGCAACTTCACCCCTTCGATCCGGCGGTCTAAGGACCGCTGGCATCATCAAGTACAATAAAGTGAGCTTGCATTTGCATGACGATGTCAGTAATCCCCGAGTGTCCTTGTGTACAATGCAAGTCTATGGAGTATAAACCTGCATTGTACAAGATGATGCCGAGAGACAGTCAAAAACCAGAGGGAAGGGGGAGGAGGAGAGAGTGGGGATCAGGTGAGTAAAAGGACTTATTCCTGTCCCCTAGAGTCTAGGGCCTAAACCAGGGGTAGCCAAACTCCGGCCCTCCAGCTGAGGTGAAACTACAAATCCCATGATGCATCTCTCTCCGGGAGTCATATTTGTGACTGTCAGAATCTTGCAATGCCTCATGGGATTTGTAGTTCCACCACAGCTGGAGGGCCGGAATTTGGCTACCCCTGGCCTAAACAAACGAGCCGTTAACTCTTGCAAGCTGGGGCAGAACCACTTCAAGGGAAAGGTTTTGATGTCCCTGTAGCTGGACTTCAAGTGCTTTGTACTTGCTTAAAAATCATACCTAGCTATCCCCACCCCCACCCAATGTAATGATGAGGAAGGGGCTGGGGAGTTAATGCTTACCATAATGAACCATGTGTCTGTACAGACAGACGGACAGATTTTTTTTTAAAGGGTATCCACGGTGAAAAACTAAAAATAAATTGGTCTTGCAGCGCCTCATGGGACTTCAGTTCCACAACAGCTGGGGTGCCGAGGTTGCCTACCCCTGGCATACATCATGTTACAGAGATACACATTTGATATTCTGCAATAAACTGCCCTTTTATCCTATAACAACGTACACAAAAGACAATCCTCCATAGGAAGGGTCAATAAATAAAGCAGCTATACAAAGGAATATCCACTCTTAAATATTAGGCAGGGCCGGCATTCTTGCAGCACTGGGGGCCCCCGGCCTTGCAGCACTGGGGGTCCCCGGTTCAAATCCCGGTCAGTATGATATCTGCAAGCAGTTTGGCATGCTCACCCGCTGCTCGTGTGCGTTTCCTTCCACACTCCAAAGGCACGCTGGAAGGTTAATTGGGTCTAAATTGGCCCTGGAGGTAGTCATGTGATGTAGGGACCTTAGATTGCTCTTTCAGGGCAGGTAAATGTGCAATAAGTTAACTGTCGGCGCAATATAAATAATATTGGGTGATACCGATGGGAAGTGCAGCCGCCCAGGCCGAGGGCCGATCCCCTGAACTGTGAGCGCTCTCCACAAAACATCACACACTGGGAACCGGATAACAGGCTAATCTGCTAATTACAAGCATGCTATTATTTTACAGGGTGGCTTTTATCCTGCCTGCAGCCTCCGCACTGCCTGCACCCACCAGGTCGGTTCTGAGCACGCGGGGATGCATTCCGAGGTGACGAGTGACAGCACCACCCTGAAAGTAAACAAGACTCCCTTGCAGCCGCAGCACCGGCTCCCTCCGATCAGCCAGGATGGAGGGAGAATTTTGCTGCAGCGTCTCGTTTGACAGAAACTCGTAAAAAAAAAAAAAGTTTCACAAAAGAGAGTCAGATGATTGCAGCAGCCGAGCCTGTCAGACGGGTGACTGGGACAGACGCGTCTCAACCTAAAACCCTGGAGGACATGATTCCGATTAGCAGGGCAGTGCCAATACCAGAGGCCAGAGCGGGTAAACTAAGCTTCATGGGCGGCCATACACGTAACGACTTGTGATCGATTTAGATACGAGTGATGGGTTATTGACTAGGTACCGAAGGATATAACACCCCCCCAGGGGATGAGAGGCTGCGGGGTCACGTCTAGACCGGACCGAGGATCGGGTGAGTAGATCTTTAAAAGAGAACTATGGGGCAAGTGTTTTTCCCCATAGTTCTCTTTAGGGTCACAGGAGGACATATACTAACCTCCTCCTGTGATCCAAAGCTCAGTATATCGCATGCAATACTGAGAGTGCCACAGCCGGGACGGATCCCGACAATACTGAGGAGATCCGCCCAGCTGCGTGAGTGACAGCTGGCTCTGCCTATCTAGAGGCAGAGCCAGCTGTGCCCGCCCCCTCCCCCCCATTCATTCCCCCACCTCAGCGCTGGAGGATCAGAAGGGGGGGGGGGGGAGAGAATCCCTGCAGGGAGCGGTGACTGGCAGTCACCGCTCACTGCAGGGAGCCTATCGCGAAGTGAGCGGATCGCCGGCATGTTTCTGCTGACTTCCCGATCAATAGAGCCGACCTGTGACAGCTTCTTTATCACAGGTCGGCTCTAACTATGAGAATGAGCGGAAATCACTCACCTCAGTTCTCCTTTAATGTCGTTCCTAGACCAAAACGAGCAGTTCACCTTCAAGTGCACAAGGGTAACCCCAGTAGAAGGGTTTATGTTTAAAAACCCTGGAAATGTTCTTTACGACCGGTAAGTGTCCCCGATATGCTGCCGAGGCATCTGGGACCCTGGGCTCCTCAGCCTCCCCGTACCTCCATGCTGCCCCTGTTGTTGCCAGACTGACGTCCACAACAGGGGCTCCGCACACTCCAGGTCATCACACCTTGCCACTGCTGTACACCCGGGGGGGGCCACCATCTGGCGCCTACTCACGTGCAGGAGGATAGTTGCCTTCCCTGAGTGACGGAAGGGAACCTTGGCCAAGAATCGGGTGGGGGTCCGATAGGGAATCCCTGTATGCACTGCAGCAGGTAACCCTGGAGTAGGTCCCAATGCATAGCAGGGTAAGGCTCAGCCCTAAGGCAAACAAACATGAGCCCTAAAAATAACAAACATTACGATGTCCCTGTGTAGCCGACGGAAACACAAAAAAACTGACTTGGGATGGAAGGAGGAGTCTATTTAATGTGGTTGATGTGTTTCCTGTTGCAGGCAGGCGGAGCCTATATCTCGATGGCTGTCCTGGAAGATGACTGGGGAAATAATGTCACCGCCGCGCACGTTACAGTGTAACCTCATGTGATACGGGATCCCGTGTATCAGAAGTGTGAAGGAAGACTTATATTTCACCTTCTGTGGTTTCCCTTATGTAAGCGGTTGGATCACAACCTGCAGATAGACAGGACGGAGCTTTTATAGGTTTCGGTATAATTGTTATACAAAAAAAATCATCGCCTCTTGGAGTGGAGAGACGGTCAGAGAAACGTGCCTCCCGCCATGGATGTCTTTGTATGGTTACCCTGACCATATACCAGCTTTGTATATAACAGTCTTGTGTGACAGGGAAGGGCATATCAATATGGAATTCAGAAACCAGCCGGAGATTTTGTAACACAGCCATCTCCATTAACTAGAGAAAACCTACAAAGTTGGGCGCCAGCTGTAATTACTAAGGAGCATTGGCGACCCGGCTCCTGGGATATGTCCAGCCCTGCATGGGATACACACAAGGTGGGCGGAACCAGGAAGTGAATATGTAACATTTGCGATGAGATTCTTTGTTATTACTTTGTTGCCTTTTAACTATAAAATGAATATTTTTAAACAAGATTATAGTCTGGATCCAGCAGTTCTCCCTAAACACAAATATTTGTTCGATTGATCAGAAGCGATCGTCAAAATTCCCTCACAGTCGCCTGGAGTCAAAATAAATCCGAGCGATCACTTAATAGAGGGAATGCAGGAAGTTTGGTTTGCGGTTTTTATACAGTGTGATCATTAGTCTCATCGGATGATGGATGGTATAATACTATAAAACAGGTGTGCGGTCAACTTAAGATTACAGGAAAGCAACGAGAGGAAGGCATGGGACAAGAAGTTCTGCAGCACGCATGCTGGGGCCAGCCAGTTGAGGAAATCGCCAATTGCCAATCAACAATCTCTGCGCCCCAATGAGACTGCAGAGTGTGCCCGTCAGGAGTGCCAGATTTACAATAATACCGCCAACCATGGCAATGCCAGATATGGAACAACATCAGTAGCAGGCCACTCCATCAACATAGAGGCTTGCCATGCACCCACAGTGCTCACTGTCACCCCGTCTAGTCAAAGTCACCATACACATTACAATCTTTGTACAATCTGCGTACTATAAAGGCCGACCTGATGTATCCAGGTCAGACAGGCCACTGCACTACATAGTTGTAGCTTGTACAATCAGTTTGTAACATGCATGGTGAACTTTACAGTGCCAGTCTATGCAATACACGCAGCTAAACAGCACCAGTTCTCATTTCACCCTCCCCAGCAGTGCCAGTCCTCTGACACCACGGACCCCTTCAACAGCACGTATAAGATAAGGGACCTACCTTGGGCAGCTCCCGTAGCTGGTTGGAGTCGAGCAGCAGTTCCTCCAGGCTGCGGCTGTAGCGAAAGATCTCCTCTGGCACGGTGTGTAGGGAGCTGTGCCGCCGGTCCACGCTCTCCACATGGCGGTTGCAGCGCCACAGTGGCATGCACTTCAACATGGTGTCCGGTGGGGAGGGCGCCTCCTATACAACGCGCACCATCCAGGGGCAGTGCCCTCTTCTATACTACGGACAGGGCCACAGCTGCATGCGCCGCTACGTGTGGGGCACCACATGTATACTACATAGACACGGCTGTGCCAGCTGGGCACCGAGACCCTCTATACTGAGCCAACTAGGAAATGACTTCCCCAACCGTATACCGTCCTCACTACTGTGCCAACCAGGGACTGTACCGCTCTACAGATAGTAAACACTCCAATATCAGATACCCTCCCCCCCTGTACAGTACTAGCTCTGGCCCCCTCCCCATACACAGAATACACTGGGCTCCACTGTCCCCCTATAGACAGTGCCCTCCCCTTGAAACGTACACTCAGAGGTGGGCCAAGAGGCCCCCTTGTATATGGAGGACACTAATGAGCCCCTGTGTGCCCCTCTGTTTATAGGACGACTCTATGGTAGAGTCAGGAGCCTCTGTATATACAAGCTAATATGATAGAACCAGGACCCCTGTGTGTGTGTGTGTGTGTGTGTGTCCCTGTACATACAGGACTCTATTGTAAAGACAGGACCCCCCTATGTGCCCACCAGTATATAGAAGACTCTATGGTAGGGTCAGGTGCCCTGTGAAACCACCCTGTACAGAATATATAGGACTCTATGGTAAAGTCAGGACCCTCTATCTGCGCACCTGTATATAGATGACTCTATGGTAGAGTCAGGTGCCTTGTGTGCCCCTCTGTACACAGATAACTATGGTAGAATCAGGAGTCACCTGTACACACAGATCAGTGAGAAGCCGCTGTATGCACAGCTCTGCCCTGCCCCCTGAATATAGAGGCGTCTATGGCAGAGTAAGGAGCCCCTGTACACAGTCTGGTCCGTGCTGTGGCCCCTGTATGCAGAGCCCTCCGTGCTGTGCCCCCCCCGGTATAGAGCTCACAGGCCGCTCGCGCTCTCCGGCTTTCCAGTCTCGTCTCTGTCAGGAGGGACGCGGCCCGCTGCCCGGTGCACGTCGGGAACTTCGCAGAGCTCCTCCCCCTCCTCCCTGCATCCGGGGAATGGCGTCACCTGACCACGCCTCACGACAGGACGCCTCACGCAGGCAGCGCTAATCCACGGCAGAATCTGGAAAGGCGTGACTAATCAAGAGCGGAAACGTCGCTCCCTGAAAGGTAAAGCGAATCTAGAGCGGAAAGAGAGTGCCTGTTCAGACCTGAGTAATCGACAGCAGAGAGGTGGTTGGCAGATGCACAGTGTATTCCAACCAGACTGGCTGCCCTGAGATGATTCTTTCTAAAGCACAGTGTGTGAGGCTGTCCCGGGGTGTCACCCTTTGTCCTGATTTGTCATGCTGAGCACTGTATGAGACTGGTTTTGGGGAAAGGGGGTAATCCTATGCTCTCATTTGTTACCCTGTATCACTATGTGTCCTGGAGGGGGTGACATCATCTGACTGTGTGACTTGCAACACTGCACCCCTCTAGTGATAATAAAGATCTATATAGAGGAATCAGGACCTCCTTCCTCCTGCTGGGGACCCCTCTAGTGATAATAAAGATCTATATAGAGCAATCAGGACCTCCTTCCTCCTGCTGGGGACCCCTCTACTGATAATAAGATCTATATAGAGGAATCAGGACCTCCTTCCTCCCGCTGGGGATCCCTCTAGTGATAATAAGATCTATATAGAGGAATCAGGACCACTTTCCACCTGCTGGGAACCCCTCTAGTCATAATAAAGATCTATATAGAGGAATCAGGACCTCCTTCCTCCTGCTGGGGACCCCTCTAGTGATAATAAAGATCTATATAGAGGAATCAGGACCTCCTTTCCTTTTGCTGGGGACCCCTCTGGTGATAATAAAGATCTATATAGGAGGAATCAGGACCTCCTTCCTCCTGCTGGGGACCCCTCTAGGGAATTCTTTTTGCTTTCCCCACTGCCAGGTCACACTGTTCACTCAGTTTGCCATCATCTGAAATAAGCTCCCCCAAATTGTTTTCCTATGTACTTCTGACCAACACTGTGCCCTTATATTCTGCTCTTTCGGATGATATTTTGCATTTCAAAATACTGAACCACACTTTATGCTTTGACCAATCTCCCAGCAATGCCAAACCATGTTACACGTAACAATTGTCAATATTAACCGCATTGTACACCTTTGTGCCATCAGCAAAAATAATACTTTGCCCACCAAACCTTCAGTTAAATCACGTACCGGCAGATAAAATAGGGGACCTAGTATAGAGCAGACATGTGCGATTCGTTTCATTCCGAATCGAAATTCTGACGAAATTTCCCAATTACAATTATAACGAATGCAAACAAATCCGAATTTCCGATTCCGGAATTCCTCAGCGGTAGTCTGGACGAAATTGCATTGCAGCAAATTTGACAGAAAAATGTATTATTTTTTTTTAGAATGCAGAAGAGGAAAAAAAAGCGTGAGGTTCCCCCCCCTGCCGTGAACAGGGCCAACTGATCGGAAGCCGATTAATCGATTATTGAAAAAGTTGACAACTTTTTCAATAATCGATTATAATCGATTATGTCGATTAGTTGTTGCAGCCCTAGTGGTCTGCAGGCAAGGGGGCTTATTTGCATCGGGGTACCCCTTTAATTAAGGGAAGTCCATGAACCCATCGCACTCCTGACCGCTCACTCCAATTAAAAAAACTGGGTGCTACGGTAATCAACGGGTGGCAGCCGTGACGAACATGTAGAAAATCATGTAGAAAAACATGTGTCTTTTGCCTGAGGAAGGGGATCCTGTGTGCCCCCGAAACGTTCCTTGCATATTGTGTGATATGTTACCACATCATTAAATAGACGTTGTTTTGCATTGCTACGGGAGTGTTGGTATCCCTGATTTTCTCCTTTAATTAAGGGGGCACCCAGATGCCGACCCCCCTGTGAATGTACCCCTACCCAGGGCTGTAGCTACCATGGGGCGAGTGAGGCACTCGCCTCAGGCGCAGCTGAGAGGGGGTGCAGCCAGGACCGGCCTGACTGTGCCCCCTCGCCCCTGTTGCCATGACAACAGGGGTGCCAGGCGGCCATCACAGCCGCGGCTCGGCAGGAAGAAGAGGGGCGGTACAGGCTTCATCTTCTCCTCGGA